CGTCTCCAAACTCTCCGCGTGATATACCTGCACTACGTGCTTCCATGCTCTCGATCATCTCATGATGGACGATGTCGCAAAAGAACACTTGTATTTTAGCAATTTCTATTTGCACTAGATGACACTCTTGCTAACACTGGCACGCTCACTTTGCTTTGGTTTTAACAAGGATAATAATTTTAAGTTAAAGGGCTAAAATTTGGTTAGGAAAGGCCGAAAATCAAGGGGCAGCTTGCATAACCATGGTCAAGTTAGATAGCTGACGCTTAAATTTACAGATAAACGTCAATGTGCCTAAAGCGACAAAAATAACGACATCGCCAATACTCATACTAATCACTATATGGAGGTAATGTTCCTTCATTTAAGATCCCACCTAAAGTAAGTTTATTTGTATTAATTGTGCAAATTGCTACCTAGTCGCAATTGTTTTAGTGATGTATCATAAAACTGAGTTAATTAGGCCATTCCCATAGGAGCAAAATGGTTTGATTTTATGAAAGCGCAGGCAACCAGAAGATCCCACTATGAGCTCGCCTGACCATAGACAAGGAGAATCATAATAATTTTACCACAGTTCTCCTCAAGCTAGTCAGGAGTACGCATTTTGCATCCGCAACACCCTCTATAGCCAATGAATTACTCAAAAAGCAGGGGTAGGCTGCCGGTTTGTTCACCAAAATCAATGAAATGCGGAGGCTCCTTCATAAGCCTTGAGGCAAGTTAAACATCTGGCTTGGGTTCCATAATCAATGCTGCCAACATTGTGTCAAACTATTGCTCTTCCACGTTTTGCATCCCCCTGAGGTCACCGAATGTCTTGCAAAATACAATGATTAGATAAATTTGCGAAACAATCAGTTAATGCTATCACTGGTAATATGTCCGCTAGTTGATATGCGCCTACAGTGGTAATGAATGCACACATATTTTCACGGCTATGTGATTAAAGGCAGGATGCCTCCTAGAAATTTGCGTTTTTGGAAAAAGGATAGAATTGCGGCTGATTAACCTTTCAAATATCCACTTTAGCACAATGAGTTAACTGAAGAGAATGCGCCTAAATCTAAACCACAGTTATCGCATGCGCGTGTTTGTTTGGTCTGGGCTTCACTCAATGACGAACATATATAAGCAAAGCCAAAGGCTGCAGTAGTTGCGGTTAGGATTTTACCTGTTCCATATATCGGCAGAGAGAACTGAAACTGCTATTATATCAGCCGACACGGTTTGTGGTCAAGCTGTTGATAATTGGCTTTGGTCAAGATCATGAGTGTTGAAGCACCTAGCTCACACGCTCCGCACGATTCGGTTTCCATCACTCTACTGATTACAAGTTTATGATATCAACCCTTAGATACAAATGCACTTTTGGCCAAGACGCGGTCATTCACACTGGTTGCCAGATAGTACACCATTCTAAAAATAGACAAACGCTGCCGAATATCGGGCTCTAGACTTCCCACAGTACTCATTTCTAACTTACAGCCATTTTGATTATACTGTCCAGCAGTGAAAAAAGCCATGTGCATGGTCGCCTACGGGAATTTCTCAATGAGGACAGCAGTGGTGCTGATGGTAATCACTACTGGATCTTTGTGCTTGCACCGTAGTTTGAGAAGCCTCCAATTTTCTTCGATCAGCAGGAGCCACCAGTCGCTGCTTAAGTTCGCCTCTAATACTTTCTTGCTTGTAACTCAAAATAAATGCGACCACTATTAAACGTTTTGAGCATTTACTAAATGAATATCTCAGCATTGCTGTTTACGAGGCTGTTCATAATGGCAGAGCGGTAGTAGCAGTCTGCCATTAGATGAAACGAAGTTTGGAATTTACGGTGCAACTCCTGTACTAAATGACGTCACCTGGAATTCCCAGTTTTACTAAATGAACATGCCATGGCCAAACAT